TAGTTATAGATTGCGAACTTTCCAATATTTTCTCTAAAAGGGATTTTAAACAACAAACTACAACAACATATTCTGTAAAATTAGCATTACTGTTTAAATTTAAGCACTATACACCTCATCCCAGGAGCGGAACTACAGTGCCGCCAGACCCCGCAATGCGGGGGAGGGGGGCACGCCATTTAGGGGCCCAAAGCCGACCATACTAATTTTGTTATTGTTAAAATTTATTTTCATTTTCTTGCAGTTTTGAATTGATGGTTGTTTTGTAAAAAGATTATAGTAGCTGCGGTTGGATTATCTTTATTCTATAGACACCATCACACGCTTTTGTATATTCATTTTCCCTTTGTTTTCAAACCACTGTGAAAGCCGAGTCCTCTTTCTCCTAATCAAACCTATCAAAGATAAGCAAACGTTCAAACCACTTCCATGACTTATTTCCCTTTATTTAAATAGTCAAATAGGGGTTCTTATAAGCTTAATTAAGTAGATTTGTACTAAACAAATTAAAAATCAATAAGCCTACTTCTCTTAATTATTTTTTTTTATAAAGTACTTACTAAAGAATGAGATTGTTTAAAAATGAAACGTATTTCAAGTTAAAAACAAAAAGACATACAAATAAACATAACACGAGACACCATTACTTATACAAAGCTTTCATATTTTATATTTTTTGACCGACTAGAGGGTTAAGGGTCTTTATAGCAGAAATAAAATAAAACTGATTTTCACACAAATTTCATAAAAAAACGTTTTAATAACAAGCTTTTATGTACTAATGCACTAAAAAGTAGAAAATAAATTATAGACTACTATTTAAATAACTATCAAGAAAAGCGTGGGTCACTTTAGTATCTATTGGGGGGACCTTTACAAATGTTTAGGAAGAGACCCACGCTTTTATTTACAGTTATTTAAATAGTTGTCTATAATTTATTTTCTACTTTTTAGTGCATTATTACATAAAAGCTTGTTATTAAAACGTTTTTTTTAATGAAATTTGTTTCAGTACTTTACATGTTTTATTTACAATAGAGTTATATGACTAAAAACCATTGCGCGCCTACTGAACGTGATGGCGCAGCCATTGAACGTGATGGCGCAGCTATTGAATGTGATGACGCGTGTGGTGTGGTTGGATAGACATCCCTCCTAATTCGGTCCAAATTTTTAATTAATTCATTAAAAAAATAATTAGGCATCCAATTAAGTCAAATTTAATGTCACTTTGCATTGTCTTCATGTCTTGACCCACGTGCCAACTGTGAATCGTATCGGTCAAGTAGAAGTGTCCGAATTTTCACTCCGGCGTTTCGATCGAGACAGACGACAGACTGACGACAGAGGAAGTGAGTTAAATAAAAGCTTGTAAAAACACACTAATGCACTCACACAAATGACATTGTTGTAATTTGTTTTAATTGAATTTTTTTTCCAAAACCGAACAGGCCAGCAATGAGTATCCTATGATCGTATTTTGTGTTTAGGCCTAAAAAATTTTTGTGCGGGGTGGCCCTTTTTTTCTAGTTCCGCCACTGCCTCATCCATCACTTAATAATTAAGTATTCAAATTATCCAATGATTTTGAAAACCTAAGCGAAGCTAGGCAGTATGCCTAGTAAATTATAAAATCGTGTGCTCAAAAATTCAAAATCATTAGAATCTATATTTAATTTTTCATTCAGCTGAGATCTATGATGCGCTTACTACTTTTGACGCATGCGCACTCATCTGAAAATTCAGAACATGTCCAATGTTTTCGCTCAAACAAAAACTTGACCCAGAACATAAAATGGGGCGTGGTTTTGTGCCCGCGACTCAGAAGATGTTCCATATACCTGTAACATGTTTAGTATACACTTTAGTAGGTCAAGTCTAGTATACATGTCATAAGTGTAAACGCGGTGTAAGTAGCAATACATCTGGTAGATCTACACTACAGTAACAAACGTGAGGCCACATAACCCATACAAAACCTCCAATAAAACTGCTAATTTACTTCTGAGGTAACAACCACTGCTGTTATTAGATCTGGGTAGCATGTTATCATATGTAATTTTTTACCATCGTGGTACAGCAGGAAGTAATCCGACCCATACCGATGATTCCCCCCCCCCCCCCCCCCCTCAAAATTTCTTACCTCCATGATACCCAGCCCCCACCTGTTTATTGCCCACCATAAAACTTCATCTCTTTGTACGTAACATTGATTACTGTTCTTAGATCTCAGCCGCCCAGCAGAGATATGTTATGTAATTTATCACAATCATGGCCCAGCAGAGTAAGTGGTCGGATGCCGGATAGGGTACTTCCTGACGCCGCAAGCGCTTCAAATTTGTCAGGCTCCTGTCACGAGCTGACATAACACAGGGGTCAATGCTGATCGGCCACAAAGTCCACGAAGAGGGGGTCAAAACTGACCTCGAATGACCGGCGCCATCATAACTCCTGAGGTCGTAAACTGACCCTCGGAGGTAACAAAAAAACAACTATATCTTCGAGAAAAAAATCAGGAAGTGCTTGAGAAGCGACCGTGATAGAATCAGACTTACTTTTTACCACAAGTTTGTGTAGATTTTCAGGTTTCAATCTTATAGATAAGAAAGTCGTTTGATGAAAAAGCTAAGCGTTTGTTAGCTAAATAACCATCAGTTGACATTTTACTTCCTTATTTTAGTATACATGCAAATTTCCATTTGCGTTACTTTATTTATTGGTGAACCAATTATTTTTAAACATTTAGATCTAGTCCTAATTCATCCATTCCTATTGTTTCTTTTAAGATCTTTCTTGCTGTCAGTACAGCCATATACATACAAACACACATATATATTTATATATATATATGTATATATACATATATATATATATACATATAGGCCTATATATATATACATATATATATATACATATATATATATATATATATACATATATATATATACATATATATATATATACATATATATATATACATATATATATATACATATATATATATATACATATATATATATATACATATATATATATACATACATATATATATACATACATATATATATACACACATATATATATACACACATATATATATACACACATATATATATATACATATATATATATATACATATATATATATATACATATATATATATATATACATATATATATATACATATATATATATACATATATATATATACATATATATATATACATATATATATATACATATATATATATACATATATATATATACATATATATATATATACATATATATATATATACATATATATATATACATATATATATATATATATACATATATATATATATATATATATATATATATACATATATATATATATATATATATATATACTAGCGTGCCCGTTGCCACGGTCTGAAAAGAAAGTCTGACGGTTAGTACAGGATAGCCCGGACAAATAGCCAGAGGCATAGCTGGGGATGGGGGTGAGTGTGTGTGTGTGTGTGTGTGTGGGGTGATTAAAAGAAATAAAACAAAATATTTAAAGCTAGTACATTCACCAAGACAAATAATCTATACATATAATTCTCTTCTTGGAGACGTTATAAAACACCAAGCTGTAGCAGTCCCCTCTCTAGGCATATCACAACCCCCTAACCCCCACACGGTCTGATGAGCTGTGGTTCACGCTAAATGTTTACAATCATAGAGCCGGGTTTAGTGACGCCTATTAGGGGCAGATAATATAGTTTGAAACTATTTTAAACTTAGGGGAGGTAACTAATAGGAGGCTGCTTTCACCGGGGGGGGGGGGGGGGGGGGGTTGGAGGAAAGGAGGGTTTTAGTGTTTTAAAGAAAATATTTTCAGCAGTGACAGCATTGGTACTGTCGAATTCACAAATTATGAAAGGACACCAGCGAGAAAAGTCTCAAAGGTATTTGAGAGGTCCATACATTAATTTAAAAATCATGCACAGCGTAGTTACAATTAATATGGTTATAAAATCCTGCCTGTCTGGTTTTTTTCGGACTTTACTAAAGATTGGATGTATTTGATGTTTTTAATATTTTTGGTAACTAAATAAAAATTTTAAAAAAAAAGCAAAAACAATTTGGTTTTCACATGTAATGGCGACATAAACAATGGCATCCTGCTATTGGATAGGCCGCCATAAATTTTATTGTACGCATAGTAAGCTAAAAATAGAAAACTAGGTCATGGGGTTTTAAATTTGCATTGTTATTTAAAAACTTGATCTGCAAAGTTTTGTAAACAAATAGTTATCGATCACTAAGTTACTGTACAGCCAATCAATATTTGTCTTACGAAAGTGAAACATCCGGTTATAACTTAGGCTTGATGAAAATAAATAGAAATGTAGCCTTAAACTCAACAAATTATTTTCAAGTTCCCTGGATTGGCAACTTTTATAGCATTTATTCTAAAAATATAAAATTTCTAAATTAATTTTAGGCTCAAGTTTTTATTTTTTTTTACAGTGTAAATCTAAAAAGCACGTTTTTATTCCATGTCAACAACATTATGGAAGGAATCTCGCCAACTCGCTGGTGTCCATTACTGAAAAGTAGAAAATTAAACTAAATAGCGGCGTGTAATACGCCGCGGGTAAGCTCGTATGGTTTGTTTGTTTGTTGGCTTTTTAAAAACAGATCAGACACTTGGGGTGATCCAAAATTGGGTTGTAGGAAATTTGCCAAAGGTCCAGACAAAATTGAGAAACACTGAAACTGAAAAACACACGATCGCAGAGAAAGAACTTTTTCTTAAGAAATTTTGATTGTTTATCACTTATGTGCCATTTTAACAGCAAAGAAGGAAATAGAAAAGAACAGAATAATACTTGAAAATATTATGCAGTTCTCTATTTAAGAAAACATGCATTGGCTTTTAGGGGTCATTGTGAATCCCAAGGTTTAGGAGAAGCTACATTAGATGAAGGCAACTTTTTGGAACTAATTAAAAATTAACACTGAGAAATTAATTTTTCAATATTTAATTTAGCAACCATTTGTGTAATACATTTTAAGTAACAATACCAATGCTTTAAGTTTAAGTCCTGTACAAGAGTTAGATTTTTTCAGAGACATCAGTTTCATCAGATTCCTGAAATAAATTAAATGAAAAGATGTGAATTGTGTAATGAAATTAAGGTGGCTGCTGGAGTTGATGATTTTAAGGTTGTTTGTTTGACCTAAAAATAAAGTAACAAATTTCCACAACCCAATAAGTGCCTATTTGACTCTGGCAGTCTATGTTGCAGAAGAATAGAATTCACCTCAGTTTCAAGTTCAAAGGTGCTATAAAAGTACCCCTTTCAAAATTGGTGTTGTTGAAGTAGAGCTTACTTGTTTCTGTGACAATTTATTTGAAGAGGTGGTGTGGTCAGCTGCCTTTACTTTCCCAAATTTGAGTCAGAGCTGAGTGGACTCAAGGACAACTTACATCTTTGAGCTCAGGATTCAAACTCAAGATTTTCTTGTTAGATGTCATGCAGTTACATGTCTGACCACATCATCTTACCTCCAAAGCAACTATTATTCTGACCTACAACAATACAAATACCTGATTCATATGTGCTAGAACCCTTTACACATTTTTCATTTATAAATATTATATATTCAGTAAGAAAAATTAGGTTTGTTTATTATTTGCCCACCTAGTTGACATCAGACTGTCCCTTCCCAGCGAGGTTCAACACTAAATTGGGTTATTTCTTAAAAATGAGCTATTATTAAAAATGTATTAGCAAATGACTTACAAATGTTATTTTTAGAAAACTTACCGTATCATTTGTTACTCAAAAGGACATTCAAAAGTTTCCAACTTACAGTAAAATTTAGTTGATCCCATGGAATTCCAAAGCCTGCTTGTTCATTCAGCTTCATGTTGAACACATGCCTCTGACCATTACATTTTTCAACATTACCTTAAAAAATATAAACACATAGATATACTTTTTAGCATTTAATAAAAAAAAAAAAAGAAAAAAACCCGTGCTAATAGCAAGCTTTTAAATGCACTAAAAAAAAATTTAATTTGCTTTCTTTCAAAAAAGCTTTGGTCGCTCATGAGATATGTTACATATTTTAATGATCATAGAGAAAGAAAGCATATTAGTTTAATTTTCTTATTTTTTAGCTCATTTAAAACCTTGCTATTAAAAGTTTTTTATATTTGTTTTATTTTCTTTTTTTAGTGATTCATAATTTATGCAATCAACACAACTAAAATTTTCTTTAAAACACCATAAGCAGTTGATAAAGCGATCACTAGTTCTTAATCTTGTTACCTCCCCCTTGTTTCAAATCTTTTAAAACTTTATTATCTGCCCATAACAGCCTTTACTATCTTAACTTGGCTCTAGAATTTTAAATATTTGGTGTTAACTACACATCTTTATGAATTTATTTTAAATAGTCTGAAATTAGTAGGTAGTATTATCCAACCAGTGTTTCTTCCAGACTTTTTTCTCTGGGGGGGGCACTTGAAATCTTCGGGGGGGCGGTAAACTTTCTTCGGGGGGCGGACACTGTTAAAAGTATATATTTTCTATATAAATTATATAAATTTCATTTCGTTCGGGGGGGGGGGGGGGGAGGGGGAAATTTCGGGTGGGGGGGGGGGGGGGGCTTGAAGAGATGCCTGGAAGAAACTCTGTATCCAACTATTCTGCTATTATAAGCGCGTTATTATGTTCATTAGGTGCGCAATAGTTTTTAGCCATGCAACTTCATTAAAAATTTGTAAGTGCTGAAAAAAAATACATAAAAACTTTTCAATTAATAATGTTTTATGTAATAATGCACTAAAAAGTAGAAAATAAATATTTATGTAATAATGCACAAAAAAGGAGAAAAAAAATAATTTTCTTTGAATATATAATATTCTATTTAATTAGCTATTAAGCGTGGGTTTCTTTTTAAATACTAATTAAAGTATACAATAGATAATATCTCACGCTTTTCTTTAAAGTAATTTAAATAGTAGTGTATTATTAATATATATTTAAAGAAAATCAACAACCAATAGACATTAAATCATTAAAGCCCAAAAATGGGGATGGATTTGGCATACCCTGAGAAGGGATGACGATAATATGGCTAGGCAAGCATTAGAGAGCTGCCAAATACCAAGTCTGGCTGTAGCTCTTTGCTCCCCACTGTCCACAAAGAAATAAGAACAAATCATGTAAAAAAAATTTCAATTACATTTTACTTTAGGGGTTACTTCACAAATGGCTGTATTCAGAAAATGTCTTGTTTTTTTTCTCCTCTGCTGTACCTCACTTCTGCTAAGTGGTTTTTGTGAACAGTGACCTTCTGACCCAAAAACTATTTCTGCTAGGGCATTAGTGCTTCTGTGAAACAATAAATGAAATTAGTTATAAGTTATTTGGTCTGCTACAGAATATGTAAAGAACACCAATTACCAATGGTTAATTTGCCAAAAACCATTTGGAAAAATAAACCTTTGATTTTTAGTCAATGCTTGTTCTATAGTTATGCTAATTATTTTTCTTTAATGATAAGGATAAAGTGTTTATATTCAAGAAATTGTAGCAAATTAAATTGCTAAATATTATGGTTACCTTGATGTTCGACAAGGATCACTGATAAACAGACAATCCTTAGATTCTGTACACTGGTCATGAGGTACAAGCTTTTCTCCAGTTCCTGTTATAATAGTTTCTATAATTTCCTCATTGTTTTGTCTAAGTTTTTGTACAGATTGTAGATGGCGCTGTAACCTTTGTAATAAATAGATGTAATCTTCACATGATAAGAAGTATTCTAAACGTTTATTTAACCAAGATTAAAATCTAGTTAAAAACATTTTGGTTTGGTAGGAGGGAAGGTGTTTGTTCAGCTGACATTTGGTAAATCAAATATGTGAGAGCAATATTAAATTCTGAGAAAACCCACAAACACAAATATGTATAGTTAGCTCCATTTTTATCTTGGGAGACAGTGAATATGCCTAGAGAAGTGAAATCCTGTGTGTGTATATATATACATACATACATACATACATATATATATATATATATATATATATATATATATATATACTATATTCGTATGTCTCATTAACCAGTAGCCAACAGCATTGAAACTTAAGTTGAATAATTATATAACTTTGTTCCTATCAATAAATTTTAACAATAAAATCACTACACAGTAGTTAATTTCAGTTGAAAGTAACAAAATTATATAAAAATAATTACCTATGAATTCTTAGTCCTTCATCCGTTAGATCTTCATTTTCTACATTCACTCTCACTCCAACAAAACATTCATCTTCATCATCACTTTCATAATTATCACAATAAAATTTCTTTTGTTTTTTTGATAAAGAGTTAGAGAATGATGCATTTTTAGATTTATAACTGATTTTTTGAAGATAAAAATTTGGTTTTTCGCTTAGTGCTGTAGACTGAGTGGAGGAAAATGTACTTGAAAGTTTAGATGTGTAGTTGTGTTTCTGTCTTTTGTACCATGATTCATTCCAAAACTTTCTGTGCTTCCTTCTGCCTCTTCTGCATGATTCAAAATACTTTTGACGTTTTTTTTCAGATTTGCAATTGCTAGAAAAGCGATTTTTATCACATACATTTCTTTGACTGTTACTCTCTCTACAGCTCTCATAGTTTCTGGCTTGTGAGGTCAATAAAAGATTATCATGATCATTATTGTTTATATAATTGCACTGGTTTAGTGATGTATTACTGCCATTGTGATGCTGGATGTTTTGTTTTATTTGTACTTGTCTTTGACTTGGATTGTTCTCAAAGTTTTCCAACTCATTTTCAAAATCTTTAATCTTCTTGTCTAGGCCAGGCATTTCATTAGGCAACAAAGTATTTTTAGTACTTTTTTTTTTAAATATGTTTCCTTTTTTTTCTTGTGGGTATTTTTCATCTGGATTTAGAATATTTAAATGATCCCTATCTGTATGACTGAGCAAAGGTAATTCAAGACTAGGAGTGTCTTCAGTAGTATATAAGGTCTTCAAACCTTGTCCATTAGACTGGAAGTTAGAACTATTATCTGAATTTGCACTGTTTATAATTTGCTTAACCTCTTGTATTAATGAAGTATGACTTGGCACTTCCATACATTCTCTTTTTTTAGTAACATAGTTTATTGCAGGAGATGAAAAACAGCTGACTTCAGCCAATGTTCTTTTAAGGTTATTAACTACTAGGTCTTTAATTTTCTTATTTAAATCTTGTGGGTGAACTTTGGCAATAGATAAAGCTTCATGAAAAAGTGCCCTAAAGAAAAAAAATTAAGATTAAAACAAACGGGTTTAATTAAAATTAAATAATTAAAATGCATATTACTAGCAATACAACTTGCATATTATGACTTTGGTAAGCACATTTACTCCTACAAATTGTATAGTATAATGCCAAATTGTATAGATATCAAGATTTAAGCATTACGGCCCATTATAAAAAAAACAGAATCTGGCATCTCAGATATTTTAAGTTTCAATATTTTGTAACATGATCATCCTTTAAAAGCACCTGCTTGAATATCTTGTAAAGAAAAGTAAACTAACATTGTTTTTTATTGCTTTTATAGTGTAACAACGTATTGAGAATCTATTTTGTTTTTAAGTCCACTAGTGTTTGAAATAGGACAGCATAAATAAAATGAAGATGTGTTATAAACTAGGGTGTGGCTTCGACATTCACCAATGTTAATGTCTGTCAAAATTAACTAAGCCTGGTTTGCATTAGTGGTCATTTCAACATACATTTAAAAGTTAAATTAGTTTTATTTTGCAAGTTCTGCTCTGCATTGATATTTATATAATAATATAATATAATGTCAGAGGCAAGTATGGCATTTCATAGGTAAGTTTTGTATTGTAGCTATTTAATAAAAAATTCCTTTTTAAGCACACCAATGAAAGTTGATGACTGAACTATTAAATAAGGGGGAACAATTATATTTTTAGTTATTTAAGCCTTTGAAAACTACCTAGTTTAAAATCCCAGGCTATACCCTATTATGAATTAGTTGTGGTACTTAACTTCAGTTTCAAAAATGTGCATGCTTTATTAAAAAACATGTAATTTATACAAGAGCTGAATGATGTAATAACAATAATTATAAGGTACAAGCTATTAACATCAAGTATCAATAATTACCTCGAAAGGGTCAAAATTTCAATAGAATCATCAAAACAGGTTTCCATTAATTCCAAAGCCATTTTGTCTTGAATCACTTGAATAGAAAATTTGAATTCAGTTAAGTTTAAAGTAGACCGTTGCAGGTTTTTCAGAATCTCTGTTGCATCCCTAAATATTGTGATAATAAAAATTAATTTAGATATTTGCAGACAAAATAGTCTTATACAAATCATTTTAAAACTTATAATTTAAAAAATTCAAATTGATTATGTATCAAAGAAAGAAATCGAATGGGAGATTGACTAATTTATAAGACGTTCATAAATTGTAATACCACTTCTGTTAAAAGCAAAGTTTCTAATATTACCTAAGAGGTGTCTGTGTTTTGTCATTTTCTAATAACTTTATATGTTCACATGCTGCATTCAAGCTATCTAGTATTTGACTCATAGAAAGGTTTGTAATAACTTCAGACAGCATACTGTTACACCTGCAGGAATAAAATGAAATATTAGCCTAAATCTAAAGATATTTGTGTGTATTCTTTAAATTTATAGTTTTTTTTAGACCTTGCAGTTGCAGCCCTATTCACATATAATTAGAAGTCAATTAGATAAATTATATTATATAAAAATTATATATATATAAGTATATTGGTATCATATTTATTCTAATGGGTGGGGCATTAATGTCTTAGGCCATGCACTGTGTAACCAGCAATTTCCTTTTCAAGGGTTTATGGACCCTGGCTTGGAGACAGATTTATGAGTCATGACTGTTGGGTTAAACTAACATTCTCTGCTAACCCATGGAATTTATGAAGAAATTTAAAGGTAGCTTATTAGCTAAAAATACATGGGATGTCATAGGTATAATAGCCATAAAGATTATATAGGTTCATGTCAAAATTTGAACTGGTGTGTTAGTTATTATGTATAACTACTGACCTTTCGATTAAAAACTGTTTTCCAAATACTTGATGAATCAGCTCTCGATTGATCATTTCTAACATAAATGTTTCCACAAATGGAGAAATGGAATCTGAAGGATTATCACATTCAGTCTTTAATTTAATTTTTTCAGAACAAGAAACTGGTTGATTTTTCATAGTATTTTCATCAGAAGCTTTTAATGAATAGTCTTCAATCTGTCTTAATGGTTTTCTGGGTCCAGCACCTTTAGTAAATAATTTTTTATTTATTTGACAAGAATGCAATTTGTAATGCTCACTTTCAAACTGTGAGATTTTATGATCTGGTTTGCAAGGTTGCTTTGCGTAGGATCCTACTGCATTGTTAGACCCATGAGCATTTGATTCTTCAGCACAGCACATGTGAATCTCAGAGTTTACAAACTTTTGCTCATCATTTAATTTAGAGATAGGTCCATAAATATCTACAGTGTCCAAGGTGGTTGAATTTTTCTGAAAAGAAACTACCTCAACTATTTTTAGCTGATCTTTCATTGAATTAGATATGCTCTGGTTACTTTCTAATGACTTAGATTTTAATTGTGCTGGTGATTTATCTTGGTATTGATGTGGATTTAAGGACAAGTCATCAAAATCAAAGTCATCACAGATATCTAACTTTTTTTTTTTGATGGATTTGCCTTTTTCTGGAAGTTGTAAATTACCAGGTAATTTAGCAAAAGCTTTAAGTTTTTGAATAGCTTCATTGCTATTGTGACAGTTATTAATTATAATAATTTTATCATGGCTGGCAGGTTCTATTTGCTTTGTTTGGGTTTCTCCTTGAGCATGAACACAGTGTAATCCAATTGATACGTTGTTTTCATTTGTATATTTTTGATGTGATTTCTTTTCAGATAAACAATTTTTTTTTCCATTTACAGTAGCCAACTCTAAACCAATCTGTTTTGTTTTTTGTGATATTTTTTCACTTTGATGGGTATCTTTTGCACTCATAATTTTATTACAGTCTTTGTACTGCTGTTTTATTTGAACTTCATCCCTTAATTTATGAAAATTCTGCAAAGAGATATCACTGATTTTGCTAGGTAAAACAGCATTATTTTTGCTTATTGGTTTTTCTAGTTCATATTCCTCTGAAACTAACTGTTTTTTTGTTGGACTGTCCATTGTGACTTCAAAAATTGTATTAAAATTATCTTGTTCTTTTTCTAATAAAACTAACATATCAGATTCTTTAATAGATGTTGATATTTTGACATTTTTGTTTGACATCTGTAGATTAATATTAAAATTTTAAAATAAAAGTATGAATTCACGTAAAAACAAATGAACATGTTGTAGTCTATAAACCTCTATAATGACTACTAAGTCTACGAAAAGGGGGTCAAAACTGATCTCGACTGACTGGCGCCTAATATGAGCGATATATCAAAAAAATTTCCCACATAGAAACACCATCTGTCCTGAGGTCGTAGACCAACCCGTGGTGGTAGCAAAAAAAAAATATCTTTGGGAAAAATCCGGAAGACCTTTACAAGTGACCGGCCCGAATTCCCCTAAATAAACATTGTTTACTTGGTGAAATATGGTGACTATTTGCAAAACAGATTTTAGGGTACTTTTGGCTCTGTACATCTGGCTCATTTTTCCAATAGCAATGAATCAGCCTTATTGATAAAATAGTGGTCAGCCTCTACTCACACGGCAAGGGCTAAAAAGTGAACGAGAGTGAAATTCTCCTTATACGAGAAAAATGGCCCGTTGAGGAAGGATACAACGGGCGCTAGGCTGATAGTGCTGTCTCTTTTCTCTAAACTAAAACCACCCACCCCCCCCAAAAAAAAACATGTCTACCGTCCCATTCAACGAAATATAATTATATACTTTTTCCAGTGCCCGCCCCCTCCCCGAAAATTCTACCCCCGCCACCGAAAATTTCAAGTACCTCCACCCCTCACCGGGGAGGAAAAAGTCTAAACTAAAACCACCCCACCCCCCACACACACCACCCCCCCCACCCCCCACACACACCACCCCCCCACGCACACACACCACCCCCCCCCACACACACACCACCCCCCCCCACCCCCCCCTAAAAAAACATGTCTACCGTCCCATTCAACGAAATATAATTATATACTTTTTCCAGTGTCCGCCCCCTCCCCGAAAATTCTACCCCCGCCCCCAAAAATTTCAAGTACCCTCACCCCTCTCCGTGGAGGAAAAAGTTTGAAAGAAACACTGGTGTCGCGCATAGACACTACGCGAAGAATTGCATTAAAGAAATTGCAAGAAAACCACTTTTTAGATTAGACACATTAATTATGCGGTAATTTTATTATAGAGTATCGATGAGGAAATTTCTTTTGAGTTGGGGAGGGGGGGGGCTCAGACGTTCTTACGCGGGGGTGGGGCTTCGCCCCTACCCAAAGAATTGTATGAAAGAAACTCTTCACGCAAACCACTTAGATTAGACCAAATTGCCTTTGTATTGAATGTTTATTCGATAATCAATGACGTCATATTAATGTGTGCACTATCCGGCTTGAGATTATTTTCTACTCTGTGCTAAATGTGTCGACGTCATACTTCGTTTTTCGAATTACTATGCATGTTTTTATTTTCCTTGTGTTTTCTCTAGAGCGTTCTTGTCAGACAGATAGATAGATAGACAGACAGCGAAACTATTAGTATTAATGAGCTATATATCATAAAAAAAATTCCATGTAGGAATCCTTTAAAAACTCTTGAGGTTGTACATCTCCCCAGAGGGTCAGTAACAAATCGGTGCTACCCGCAGGAAAAATCAGAAACACTGTTTTAAATGACCAGAGGCCATATTTCCTTATATAAACATAGTACTGTTTTTATATGATAAAAAAATACAAATATCTAGACATACAAACCCATCATAATTCCTGAAATAGTAGGATTACCGATGGGGGTCACTAAAAATAGGCGTTAACTTTGGGAAAACTTTGGAAGGGCTTTAGAAGTGACCAGTCCAAATTCCCTATATTAACATTGTTGATTTGTTGAAAGACGATCACTATTTGCAGAACAAATTTTAGAGTACTTTGGTTCTGTAAATCTGGCTCATTTTTTCCATAGTTCTGAATAAATGAATGGGCCATATGAAAAAGTTATCATTCAGCCTTTACTCATACAGCGAGGCTAAAAAGTGAAATTCTCTTTATGTGAGATATATATCAAACTAATTATTTTGTTGAATGACACACCCCCCCCTTGACACTTTGTGAGTTTGTAGAAAAACTTCTATGGATGTCAGAAAAAACTCGCCTTATCTTGGAAAAGTCTGTAAATCGGTCAAAACTGACCAGTCATATTTCCCTATATAATCATTTAATTTATGTGAAAAACTGGGCAATTTCAACAAAGATTTTAGGTTACTCAACCTCTGTAAATCCTGCTAATTTTTTGCATTCACCTCTATAGATGACTAGTCCATATGGAATAAACTATTGGTCAGACTCTAAACCCTCGATGAGGTCTAAAAAAATGACAGCAAGTGAAATTCTTACATGAGTTACGTATATATTTTTAAAAAATGCCAATACTGGAGGGTAAAAAAAAACGTAATGCATGTCAGAAAAAGCCATTAGGGCCATTCGATTTGTCCAGATGTCATATTTTCTTATATAAGCATAGCAATTTTTGTGTGAAAAAAAGTAAACAAAGACTGTAAACAAAGACTTCGTCATTCTGTCTATATACAAGAGAGGTAACTTATTTTTCAATCATTTTATACAAATTTCAACAAAAACAGAAAATGATGAAGTATATCATTCATTTAAGTAAAAATTGCGCTATCAATTCAGGAATGTATCCTACTAAAATTGTAGAAATTAACTTTAAAAGTGAATGTAATATAATCTTTGAATTATTCTATCAAGGAAGCTTCTGTAGTTCAAATTACCTTGCTAGAATAAGTTTGCATATATTTTACCATCGTTTCTCTAACAAGCAAATACTGTTTAAACTTAAGCACTCCACATAACAGCCAATCGTTACCAATTAATTAATCATTCAAATTTACGTACTTTTTTGAAAATCCTAAGCAAAGCTAAAGCAGTATGCCTAGTAAGGTATATAGAAATAAAAGTCGAATGTGGCTATCTTAGGACTTGGTATACGGCTGCATTAGGGGTCAGAAGCTCACATTTTGACGAATTCTGTTTCATTAATAAATAGTCCTTACTTTTAAAAATTCCCCCTTTCTATTATACTTTAAGCAAAAAAAAAAAGAATAGATAACTGAGCAGTGAAAGTTTTCCACTTTGGCAGGAAAATTTCCTTTCAATGAAAAAGTGGATTCTGTAAAAAAAAAAACAAAAAAAAAACAAAGCATAAAATATGTCTTTTAAATATTACAGTTCTTACTAGTATTACTTATGAAAAATGTATAATATCTGAAAGAGTTACTTCTCTTCTAGACTATGGGAACTCAAGTGCTAGAAATAAGTTATAAAACAATGTAGGTGGATGGAATGGCAAGCTTTTAGGTGAATACAGGTGGTACTCCCCCATTTATCTGGACTTTCATTTTGATTTGACTGATGAGGGAAAGCTATACTTGTAAGGTAACCAACTTACTTTAAAAATTATCTCTGTTTTTTTATACATTACTTTCTTTACTGGATTAAAATATAAATTTACAGCATTAAGCAGATTTTTTACATATCAGCATTCTGATTTTTAAAAAAAATGAATTTCTTTCAGTTATTTCTTACAAACTTCACAGATAAATATAAAGTCTATCTTCATTGTAGTGTATCAAAATGTACAGAGAGGCCAACCAGGCAGCTGTGTGCTGAAACATAGCTAGATTATGACCCCGGTTATTATGTTGTATGTTGAACTGTCTTTATTGTGAGTTAAAAAATCATCAGTCATTATCTGTACAGGAAGCAAAGTGGCTCAATAAAATTCTAATGCTTTTGTGTAATGAGGGATCAAGCTTATGGTCTATATGCTGCATTTCTAAACACCATGAGAGTGTGCAGTAAGATGGCAACATGGCTGTCTCGTTCTCAAAACATACACATACAGTGTCATCAAGGGAGATGAATGCCAGAAAAATAAGTTCTTAATTTATGCGGTGGAAAGAATTGAGTGATATAAAGACCCTCATATGCACACATTTATCACAAGATATTTGTGAAACATGCCTGATTTTTCATCATAAATGGGTTTCTCTCACTTTTTCAGTATTTGCTCTTCAACTTCAAGTAATTATCAAGTGATAGGTGGCATTTTATCTTGTTATCTCCCCTTTTATAATTGAATTAGGTAATTTTTTAATTAAACTATCTAATAAAAGCTTTTCATTAGATTAAAAATAAGATATTCTTGCACTGTGTTGTCATCCAAGATCTATCGCTGTGCCAAATTTCAGTTCAATCGGAAATGGGAAGTGGGTCAAATTAATATTCGAAACTCAACCAGATTGAACAGACAGAGAAGCACACTCAACCAAGACTGAACTGTCACTGTATAAGGTGGATCAATAAAATATGACTGCATTTGTGTTAACCATAAGTGTTTTATCTGTCATCTATCAATCTATCCTTTATCACTAACATCACAAATTAGAACCATAGATAATAAGGATTAAAAAGATTTAAGTGCCCAATGCTTTTAATATTATAGCAACTTACTTGAGTAGGTTGTCTGCAGTTTACACCAATATCAGAAGAACTGAGTGAAGAATCTTCAAAACAGGCAGAAATAGAGTTGTCAATTGTTAGGTCCCGAGCAAAAGTTTCAAGATCTTCACTCTTTGTAAGTGATTGAATACCTATCGGTGTATCTGTTATTCCAATATCAGAAGCTTCATGATAACGCTTATTAAATGAGCGCAGTGATAAAATGTCTGGATAAGAAGAAAATCTTTATTACACTAAGCATTTTATATTTTTAAAACAAATCATTTTAAAAAACTACAAAAGTAAAAAAGTGTTTGGTTAAGTTTATAGTTTCTTCACACATAGATTGCATAGTAAAAGATATTTGTGGGGTATTTCTCAAAACGTATCTTCAATACTTAAGGCAGGCACCTACTGCTTTTCAAACATTCAGGAAGTTTTCATAAAAAGAACACATAAAGAGCGCAAAACACTATAGATATGATGGGCTACTATAGTCGCTCATGAAACCAAATGTAGAGCAACCTTTGGCGCCTTAGTAGGTTGCGATTTAGCGTCCCAGACTCCCCTGTGAGCACAATAGCACCTATATCCATTTTTAAAGAAAGCCATGCACTTTGGATAGGGTTCATGATGGCTCATGGTGCAGATGAAACAGAGTTCAGCTGTTTCTATGACCTCTTTAAATGAAGGGATAGTGTAGTTAACACTATGCCCTGCTGCTTTTACTTTCCCTAACCAAGGTGAACTTAGGTAAGTCCTACGGATTCAAGTCGAGGATTCTTACTCAAGACTTTCGTACTAATCATACATTTTGCCATCTGACCACATCGTACAAATCTCTTTGGAGCACTTTGCAAAAGTAAGGATTATGATAATGAAGTTCTTCTCTATACTGCAGTATGCTGATTGTTGACAGGGAATTTGAATTGTCATAAATTGCAAAATTCTTGGGCTACACAGTATATTTGTATAATTCTACAACAATGCAGGGTCAGTGTGATGGGTAGAGCTCATGTATGCTAAAACAAATCCAGAGTTTGAGGCATCCCGCCCACCCCCACCCATCTGGGGAAGATTTGACTAGTTAGCTTGGGACAGCAACCTATTTAGGAGAGATGCAACCTATTTAAGAGAGATAACTCCAAAACCAAACAACTGATGCCTTGTACTTTGTTCTTGGATGGGCGGAGGCTAAAGAAGTAAATCCGAAAAGAAAAGCAGGCTGTAATGGCAGTTAATGGCCAATACTGTGCATAACAGGTTGAAACATAATACTTAATTGTGTTGAAGGGAATCCCATCCAACATGACTATTAAGAACAAAGAAGTAGAAGAAACAACAATGCATGGATGATAATAATTGCATATCTAGAAGATATATTATTACTGTAAAATAGGCTTAACCCAGGGGTCGGCAACCTGTGGCTCGCGAGCCGCATGTGGCTCTTTTGATGTCAAGATGCGGCTCTTCAGCTCCATGCACAAATATTAATAATTATTTTATTTTCGAAACTCTTGAAAATATTGTTCTGCAACATTCGGTGATGAACGATATAATAATAAATATAAACAATAAACACTCGCTATTCTATTAGAATATTTATTTACTCCCTATTTCAATGTACTTTCTATTTAATTGTCCATCCCGAATCGAAACATTCAACTACATGGTGGATATCACAAAGAAACTAAAAGAGCTAAATGTAAAACTGCAAGGAAAGGAAAACCCAACCTATGCCTTGATTGAAAAAGTTGATTGTTTCGAAAAAAAATATACTTTTTTTTGGTTGAAGACATAAGAGAGCGCTACATTACTTAATATCGATAAATTTGAAAAAAAATATTATAATGAAACCAATGCTACTTTTAACATGAATTACTTCAGCATTACAATAAACAAAACGAAGGATAGATTCCTGAGTTATTTGAGCAATTCAAAAAAATGCAAGTACACTTTGACGTTCATAGTAGAATCTTTTAACACAAAACAAATGAGATCAACATTGAGCCATTTGAAATAGATTCTGGTTCGCTTCAAATGAAATGGCTGGATTTGAAAACCAAACATTTGTGGAGTGGTAAGTTCACAGAACTCAGGAGAAAGTTAGGAGATGTTGAGGTTGAGAAAAACCTGCACATTTCGCTCCACAACTGGACACTATTATGTTACGCTTGAAATATTCTCCCAGGATACTACAATGAGGTAAAGAAGTCAGCATTTGGAGTGCTGATGATCTTCGGGTCACTATATTCATGCGAGCAAGCTTTTTCTTGCATGAATAAAATAAAAAGTAAAGAAGCCAACCAGTGTTTTTTCCAGGCATTTCTTGGGAGGGGCTTTGCTCCCTCCGCTGAAGAGTCTACCCCCCCTGGACGAAATGGAATTTATATAGAAAATATATACTTTTAACAGTGTTCGCCCCCTCGGAAATTTTAGTCCGTGCCCTGCGAAAATTTCAAGAGCCCCCCCCCCTTCGAAGAAAAATGTGTGTAAGAAACACTGAAGCCAACTAACAAATAAAAAAATCTATAGGCGTGCTTGAAACTGAAAACAAGTTATGAGCCAGGTTTAAATCAAATTTCTAAAGGCTTGCAAGGTCAAACTATTGTAAATATTATTCAATAATAATTGTTAAAGAATTTGATTACTGATTTTATCATTCTAGCAGAGCTGGTTAAAATACCTTAATATGTTCTGTGCTTATCATGTGTATGTTTTTATATGAATAAATATTATTTCATTTTAAAAGTTATTTATTTTAAATTATATATAGGCATATATATATATATATATATATATATATATATATATATATATATATATATATATATATATTTATATTTATTTCTAATAAAATATCATAATATTGAAATAAAAATATGTGTGGCTCTCTAAAAACTTGGAAATTTTGTAAATTGCAACTTTTGGCTCTTCAGTCTCGAAAGGTTGCCGACCCTTGGCTTAACCTAAAACTTCGGGGAAAGAACAAAAAGGTTGGGGAAATGGGTTGCAAAATTTGCCATGTTAGGAAAAACTGTACAGTGAGATAATCTGCAGGTAAAATATATGAAAATTTTAGAAAAACACATTCGTTACTACCCTGAGCTGACAGAAGAAAAAAAACTATAATAATAGACAACTACATAGGGTGATGACTTACACTATTAAAAACTACATATATTTATCTTTAATTAGATTTCAATTTTATTTATCAGAATAAATCGTTCGAATAGAAATGGCTTTTTGAAAAAGTGGGTTTATTATTAAACAGCTATTAATTTGGTTAATTTTCACAGATGACTGTTCAACAATAAACCGGGAGTGATCTCCCCTAAACTTTCTCGAATATTCTAATATAAAATTACGAGGGATGGCAACTCAGGACATAGACAATATTTGTTATCCATTTTTAATTACTTAAACTTTTTATAATAGAATAGAATCTCGTAAAAAAAAAGAATTGCACACCAAGTGAAAAGTTTCCCTATCAAACCTGACGGTCTATGGGGCAAGTGAAGTAGAGTTCACTTGTTTCTGTGACCTCGGCATATGAAGAGATAGTGTGGTCAGCACTATGCCCAGCAGCCTTTACTTTCCCTAACAGGAGTTAGGTACCCATCAGAGTTGGGTGGACTCAGGGACGGTCTACTGACTTGAACTCGGATTCGAACTCGAGACTAACGGGTTAGCAGTCCAGCTCTCTACCGCTAGACCACTCCGTCCCACACCAAGTGAATGCCTAATAAAATGTGTATAAAAATGCGGAATATTATTAGTACTTTATAAATTTACATGCGTTTTTTGAGAAATTGGAAATAGTGTAAATTAGTACTTCCGGTCAACGGAAATTACTCAAAATTTGATAGAAGGTAGAGAATTAGATCTCATTAGATCTCATTAGAGAATTAGATTTCATGCATCTATCTCAAATAGTATGCAACTTATAGGCTTTTGAAAAATTCAAAGTAGAAAAAGTACCACTTCCGGTTATCGGAAATCGCTCAAAAGTTGATCAGGATCTACGATTGATAAAATACTTATATATGAAATTTCATCAACCTAGCTGTAACAGTACTCAAGTTATCGTGTTTACACACAGACAGACACACAGAAAGAATTGCAAAGTCCAGTTTTTACGACTCGATAACGCATAAAACGCCAAAACGTTTATATATTTGTATTTATAATTTTTGCCTGATTAAAATAAGTCCTCTATACTCCGGATGTGACGAAGGACTGAGGAGTAAAACGGTGAAAACTGTCAAAATTTCATGTTATTTTTGTGCACGATAACAATACTTTCTCTATACTTCGTATATACGAGAAAGTAAAAAAAGTGTAGTCAGGTAGAGCTTCGCATTGAAATACATGGCAGACAAAAGGGGCAGGCTTAGTCTTGGTTATTATTTCAATCAAGTTTTTATTTTTGTTAATTTTTCTAAAGCGTCAGGAATAATGAATGATTAAAATTAATTTATTATGGAGAGGCATTTTTTATTTCTGCCCAAAATTAGCAAACACTAAACTAAAAATATAACTCCAAATGTGCAAAAGTAATTCATTAGATGTCTTACCAATATGTCTCTACAATTAGCCTGTTGCTTGACCTACTTTTTACCATCGTCATGGTAATGATAGCTGCTGAAAATGACTATCCCATGATTTCATTTTTTAACAATGTTTTATGGTCATTTCAGAAATATATAGGCCTACTTATAATCATTATTTTTTAGTATAATTCAACAATACAGATCTAGTTTTAACAATGGACCATTAGTGTTTGATGCAAACTTGCCATTCGTACTTTTTTTTTGGTCTAATAGATGAGAATATCGAACAGAACATAAGAAATGTAAGCAAAACGTAAATTGTTTTATTTAATATTGTTGTAAACATACTCAAAAATACTCTTAAGTATAGAAAATTATATATTGCCCCCTACTAAACTAATTTCAGTAATTTAAAAATAAACATGCAGGGTAAAACTAGGCATTAAAAAAATAACTTGATCAAGACAACAGCTAACTAGGCTTGCCCATTTTGCCCGCCATGTATTTGGATAAAAAGAAATCTAGCAGTAGTAGCTAATGACGCATTTCTGCAGAGCGGCAATGAATGGTCAAACGTGCCACAACAACAATCCTTAAAAACTAATCTGCCATATCAATCTTATCATCATAGCCATTTAAAAACAAATGCGTTTTTTCTCAAATCATTTTTTTAAGCTACCGATTAATTTTGATAATTAAAATTGGCATCAAATTAAAGGTAAATAAATGTAGTTTTTAATTGTTTAAGTCATCTTGAACAATAATACAGTTTAAAATCTCAGGCGACACCCTATCTACAATCCTGGAAGTTTTTGTGCTTTGAATAAGCATCTTTGAGTTACTTTGATGTTAAAAAGGTAAAAAAATCTAATATGGTTGCCATCATCATTTTTAATTTCATGCTTACCACTTTGAATTCGTGCTGCGTCAATTCGGCCAATGACAAAATGGCCCCGGCAAAACGACCCCAACAAAACGGCCCCGTCAAAACGACCCCGTCAAATCGGCCCCGTCAAAAGGGCAAGCGACATATGGACCCCGTCATATGTGCTCCCCACAAATAGGCTCCCGTCATTTAGGCTACCGACAAATAGGCTCCTGTTATATAGGCTCCCGACAAAAGGGCTCCAGTCAATAAGGCTCCCAACAAATAGGCTCCCGTCATTTTGGCTCCCGACAAATAGGCTCCCGCCATTTAGTTTCTCCACAAAACGGCCCCCGTCATTACGACTCCCGACAAATAGGCTAGCGTCATTTTGGCTCAAGACAAAAAGGCTCCTATCAATTTGGCTCCAGACAAAAGGACCACTGACAATACCGTTTCTGTAGAGACTAAGTCTCCCAACAAAGCGGTCTCATTGAATATGACACCTGCCAGTGGGACCCCTTCATCAACATTCTTTAGAGTTAGCGTATCCAACACTCTTATGTAATACAACCAGGGGCGGAACTACAGTGCCGCCAGACCCTGCAATGCGGGGGGGGGGGGGGGCGCAAGCCCTTTAGTGGCCCACAGCCGACCACAATTAAAAAAAATTTAAAGTTAAAAAATATAATTTTCTTGCATTTTTAACTTGATGGTTGTTATGTAAAAAGATTACTATAGATTACTATAGCTGCAATTGGATTATCTTTTTTCTAAAGACACCACCCCGCGCTCTTGTATTCTTTTTCCCTTTGTTTTTAAACCATTGTGAAAGCAGAGTCCTCTTTCTCCTACAATCAAACTTATGAAAGATAAGTAAACGTTCAAACAACTTCCATGACTTATTTCCCTTTTTAAAATAGTCAAATAGGGGTGCCCATAAGCTCCTTTAAATAGATTTGCACTAAACAAATTAAAAAGTAATTACTTCTCTTAATAATTATTTTTTATAAAGTACTTACTAAAGAATGACATTGTACAAAAAGGAAATGCATTTAAAATTAATAATATAAATACAAAAAAAAACATAAAAATAAACATAAAACTAGACACCATAACTTATACAAAGCTTTCATGTTTTATATACTTTTGACCGACTAGATTCTAGAGATCAAGAGATCTGATAGCAGAGATAAAATAAACTAGATATTCAAAACAGACTATTGCAAAAAAAAAAAAAACAGACTATTGCACTTACACACAAGACATGTAATTTGCTTAAATTGAAAAAAAAAAAAAAAAAAAATTATTTTTTCAAAACCCTATCTATATATATATATATATATATATATATATATAGATATAGCGAGGGGGGTGCGGGGGTGCTGACCGCACCGAGTGACACCATTTAGGGGGGTGACACCAAGGCAAAAAATAGCAAAATATATAGAGAAAAATGATAATTCCACTTAATAGAGTGATTAATTAGAGCAGGGGTCTCCAAACTTTTCAGTCCGAGGGCCGCATTAACTATCAAATTTCAGTTCGGGGGCCAGTTTCTTCCAGGTATGTCGTGATTTTTCTGAGCAAAGTTCCTCAGCCATCACCATCAAACGTTTTTTCCGTGGACAAAAAGATCTCCGCGGGCCGGATGAGAGGACTTCGCGGGCCGTAGTTTGGAGACCCCTGAATTAGAGTGTTAAATAGCCTTTTAAGAGGTGGGGAGTGCAAATCGAAGGTTTGAGGGGGGGGGGGGGGTGGTGCAAATCGAAAATTTAAAGTTTGTCCCCGGGAAGGGTCGTTGCGGCTCTGGGGGGTGACACTATTAAGTGCCGCACCGGGTGACACCCGACCTCGCTACGCCACTGGATATAGATATAGATAAAAATATTTTTGCGGGGTGGCCCATTTTTTCTAGTTCCGCCACTGAATACAACGTATGCATCTCTTGTTCGGCAGGCCTTATTTTTATATTAGTTTATCTATTATAAAATATAGTATGTTTTAATTTAAGGGTCATCTATCTATGACATCCATAATTGAGTCTATAGGCTGTTCCAACTCAGTGTGTGGGGAGAAGGGTCCACGCTATACCTTCCTACCTGCAGTATGCTTGTAGGTTATCAAAACAAGATGCTGTAAACATCATGTATATCATACATTTACACTTCTGTGCTCGCTTTTAAGCAACAGATCTTTTCTGTTGTAAATTAAACATTATCAAAACTTTAGAATTGGTGGAATTTAGCTGTTAAGGGCTCGATTTGTTTGTGAATTAATGTTGGTTCATGAAAAACAATTTCGTTCGGGCATTCAAAAGAATATATAGTGGTATTGGAGTTAGGAAAAAATGGTTACTTTTATGCCAATAATGGTCATTCATTGGTCTGGAGCCAATATGTCGGGAGTCATTTTGTCAAAAGTCAATATGTCGGGAGCCCAATTGCCTGGAGCCAATATGTCGGGAGCCCATTTGTCTGTAGCCAATATGTCGTGAGCCCATTTGTCGGGAGCCCATTTGTCTTGAGTCCTTATGTCGGGAGCCAATATGTCGGGAGCCGCTTTGTCGGGAGCCAATATGTCCTGAGCTTATTTGTCAGGGGTTAATATGTCGGGAGTCCATTTGTTGGGAGCCTAAATGTTGGGAGCCCATTTGTCGGGAGCCAATAAGTTGGGGCCCTTTTGACGGGCTATTTTGACGGGGTCGGTTTGTCGGGAGTCGATTTGACAGGGTTATATTAACGGGGCCGATTTGTCCCAGGTCATTTTGAAAGGGCACCCTTTGATTTATAACTATTTGCCAGGACAAAATAACATATCAACCTAAAACATACCCAAAATAGCTTCTGGATTTTCCATTTTTTTTCTGACAGTATGTATTGAAAGAGTAGCAGCTAAATAACACCATCAATATTCTTTTTTAAAAGCTGGTGATGATTCTATATTTGTTTTTGAGACCCTTTACAGCATCTGGGAAAAAATATTTTAAAGTATTTACTACATTTCAAGGTTGACAAGAATACAGAAAGCGCACTAAAAGTAAGAAAATATTTTTTCACCACACTTATTATTTAGGTAGAATTATGAGTTAGGTACTGGGTGTGTAAATTTGGCCTCAACACATGATTCAAGCTGAAACAGGCAAACTATACACCCCTGGCTCCCCTATGATCACTACGGTGCCTATATTTGTTTTAAAGAACAGCCTACACCAGGGACATATTGGCCTTCTACATTTGATGACTAAACCGAACCAGGGTTGACACAATGAGCTTTTTTGGTTGAATATCCCTTGGCTCCAAAGGGACTCCCCAAAACCTAGGCGGGTTCAGAGAGGTATTCTGTCTCTATTTTATTGAAGGTAACTCTTTAGAAAACAAGGTAACATTTCAAAACATTTATGATTGGAAAGTGTTGATGAAACCTGTATACAATGTTTTATGACTTGAGTGTGTAGCTACATGAGACAGGTAAGCTAGTCTCTTTCTCTATGTACACATATATATATACATATATATACATATATAAACAAAAGTATATTAGTTTGTTTCTTTGCATTGACAAACAATTCATCCGACCTCCATGAAACTTTTGGAAGTAATTATGCTGTCAACCAAAAGGATGTAATTTTTTTTGCAGCAGGATGGTCCTTCTTAGCCATTGATTACCATCTCACATTTAGCCAATTTTTGATTGCAATTTCCTGGATCACATGCTTAAAATTTTCAGTAGTTCCATAATGAAATCTAACATATAATAGTCTTGAAAAATCAATGTAATCAAGTAATTATACTAAAATAATTTGAAAACCTTTTTAAAAATATGGCAAGCTATAAAATTATAGTTAGGCCTACATTTTAAAAACTTAAAGCTGTTTGGGAACCATCGATGTTCATAATTTTATATTTAGTAATAAAACAGATAGTATTAGTTACCTCACAAGTTAAAGACAGTTACAAGTACTATGGACGTTTCGACCCAAGGTCTTCGTCAGCACACAACAGTGTGATTACAGATTAGACAAATAAAGACAAACAGTAACACATTTTTTTGACTTAGCTCGACAGTGAAAACACGTCTTGTCTGCTAGCCATGATATTCAAAAGAAAAGACGCGTGAGAAGGACGCTTGGACACCGTATAGGGGTGGGGTTGGGGGCGTGGTGTATGCGGGAGGGGGGGGGGGGTTGTTAGGTGAAAGATATCTGTTTATTCAAGCCATCGGGTGCCCGTGTACCAAATTTAAGTATTAGTCGCGTTTCAGTGCTAAGGCCATTTTTAAAATTGTGGCAAAACCGAACGGCGGTTACACAAAAGTCCCTTTTTAAGTCATGCCCACTCTTGTTGAAGTGTTTGGCCACAGGAAGACCGTCTTCATTGTTGATTGATCGCAGGTGTTGGCTAACCCTGTCAGACAATCTTTTCCCCGTTTGTCCGATATAAAAGATGTTGCAACGCCTGCACTGGATGACGTAAACTACGTTGCGGGACTCACAGTTGAAGTGATTTTTAATTTTGAGGGTTCCCTTCGGCAGCTGCAGTGATTCAACCTGAAGGGTGAAATGACAGGTATTGCATTTACGGGGACAAGGAGTGGTGCCAAAACCGGTGTTGGTAGTGGGTGGCAGGCGGCTGCGAACTAAAAGGTCTCTAAGGTTGCGTTCCCTTCTATACACAACCAAAGGATTCTGTTGAAATAAATGGCCTAAATGGGGGTCTGACTTGAGGATAGAATAATTTTTTATAATGATATTTTTAGCCAAAACTGAATGAGGATGGTAGGGTAAGATGAGTTTAGTTCTATCTGACTTTTGTTTTGGAAATTGTTGAAGGGAGGCTTGGTGGTCAACAGTTGTTATGCGGTGTAGTGCTGACTGGAGTATATGCTCCGGGTATGACCGGAGTCGGAAGAACTGTAGTAGCTCATGGGCCTTGATCCAAAAGTCGTCATCATCTTGACAAATACGTCGCAGTCTTAATAATTGTGAGAATGGTATAGAATTTTTGCAGGCCGGGGGGTGTGACGAAGAGTAAAGCAGATATGAATGTGAATCGGTTGGTTTGTAATATACAGTCGTCCCAACGTTGGTTGTGTTAAGCGATATTGTCATATCCAGGAAGTTAACAGAACTCTCTGAAATTTCAGAGGTAAATTTATAATTTTATATTGAATATAAGCCATTGAAAAGCTGTTTAGAATTATTTTCATCAATGCGTAGAAAAGCTGTTTAGAATTATTTTCATCAATGCGTTACAAATCCTATGTTCTTAGTCATCTTAGACATGTGACCTTGTTTTCTTAAACTGAGTTATTTAAATTTAAATTTATTTAATATTTATTCTAGTCCTGGTTATCTATCGTTTTAGGTGCGTAAAATCGGCCGAGCCTAGTAATGTGCGAAAAAGTTGCCTAATTGATAATGCTTTTATAGAAGTATATTGTGATATTATATTTGTGTCAAATATTAGAGATGAATAATAAACCAAAATCAATGGCTACATAATAAACAAATATATAAATATATCAATAATGGCCAGAAATTAACTTTAAACAGCATTATTTACGAGTAATATTTGCTGATTTGCTATATATAATTAGGCTGATGCTAGCCGGAAAAAGATACACATGTGCAATAGAGAGAATCTAGGACTTGCCATTCCGGCGATGTTTTTGATGGTACTGTGCATGCGTATGTTTACAAAAGCAGAACCCTAGCCCTAAACCCAACCCTAACTCTAGGTCACTGCTCATCCTTCTAAATAAACCTGATGACAAACCAACTTTTTACTCAAGGTCTTGGTTAACCTCGTCTACCCCATACCTAGCTTTTGCTACAAATGGTATATCCAAAAAATGCAAAAGAGAAGTTGCAGATCAACTAGCCACTAGCGACCACCGAACAATCCTGATCCAGATAGAAACATCAGACAGGCCAATTGAAGCCTACCCCCGCCCTAGATGGAACTACAAAAAAGCAAATTGGGAGCTCTTCTCTTCCCGTACAGACTCCAACTAGACCAATCAACTGCAAAACCAAACAGGTGAACAAGTCATACACAGCCTTCTCAAAAGTAGTTCTGTTAGCAGCCAAAAAATCTATTCCAAGGGGAGCAAGAAAAAATTACATCCCAAACTGGACTCCAGACCTCCAGAAACTCCATGAAGAGACAATTGATGCTAGAAACACTGTTGAAGAAAATCCCACTGTAGAAAATAACATAAAATTAAAATCAGCAAATGCAGTTTTTAGAAAAAAGTATCTAACCGCATTAAGGAAAAGCTGGCATGAAAAAACAGAACACCTCAATGTAGATAGAGATGGTCACAAACTATGGAGTATTGCAAAAAGGCTAAACCAAGAAGAAATAGAGCTACTCCCATAGTCATCGACATAGAAAACACGATCAAAACAGAAAAGGATGCAGCAAAAGAATTTATAACCCACTTCAGCAAAGTGGGACAAATAAATATCAGCCACCAAAGAGTAGAAGAGGTTAAAAATCAAACTGAAGTTAAAGAAAAACTACAGAAAGTCTCTCCCTCCTCCTCCACTGGAATGGTAACTCTGATTAGCAAGAAGGAGCTTGGAGAAGCAATGAAGCTCCTCAAACTTAAGCAAGCTCCAGGCCCTGACAAAATCTCAAATGATATGCTCATGCACCTGGGCCCCATTGCTAAGAAAAAACTGCTCCAAATATTTAATGCAAGCTGGAAATCTGGGAAAATCCCAAATATTTGGAAAAAAGCAACCATGATACCTGTTCTCAAAATAGGAAAACCCAGGAACAAAGTCGATAGCTATTGCCCAATAAGTTTAAGAAGCTGCGTTTGTAAACTGATGGAAAGAGTAGTAAACAACAGACTGACCTGGTTTCTAGAATCGAACAATCTACTAGCAGACGAACAGGCAGGCTTCAGGAAGTGCAGATCTACTGAAGACCAAATCACCTTCATTTATCAGGAAATAGAAGATGGCTTTCAAGGAAAAAACCAACCTCAATAGTGTGGGTCGACTTTGAAAAAGCCTTTGACAAGGTCTGGGAGCAAGGTTTAATTCTAAAGCTAATAAACCATCAAGTATCTCATAACATGCTAAACTGGATCAAAGGTTACCTAAACAACGGAAAAGCATCAGTCTCCATGCAAGGAAAAAGAAGTCACATTGTAACTATAAAAAATGGAGTCCCTCAAGGAGGAGTCTTGTCTCCTACTCTCTTTCTCATTTATATAAATGACTTAAAAGAAAACATCCCAAGGAGAGTAAAAAGAAGCATGTTTGCAGACGACCTTTCACTAATCAGCACAGAGGAATATATTGGTACTTCAAAATTTCGTCTTCAGGAAACACTTGACAAGCTTGGCAAATGGACCAAAAACTGGGGCTTATCTATTAATACTAAGAAAACAACGTATTCAATCTTCACCCTATCAACTAAACATCAAAAAATGAAACTAACCCTAGAAAACCAAGAGCTAGAAAAAATGACCCCCCAAATACCTAGGAGTCACTTTTGACACTCGACTTACCTGGAGAAAACAAATAGAAAACACACAAAGTAATGGGATTAAAAGACTTAATCTAATGAGGAAACTGGCAGGAACAGACTGGGGAGCAAATCACCACATCCTGAAAAAAACCTACACCAGCGTTAGAATATGGTGCTTCGGCTTCGGGCTCAGCAGCAAAAACAAATATTAGCAAAATTGACAAAGTTCAGAACATTGGTTTGAGAATAATGACAGGAGCCATGAAAACAACGCCTATAAAAGCAATGGAGGAAATAGCCGCTCTTAGCTCAATAGAAGAAAGAAGAGAATCAAAAATCCTCACTCAATACACAAAGCTAGAGGCACTGGAAAACCATAACCTAAAATACAAACTCCAGAAACAGACTACAAAGAACAAGTTTCATCAAAGAAGCAAAGAATCTAAAAAAGAAATATGAAATTGAAAATATCATTCCTGAAGCAATAAAAACTCAAAACCTCTCCCCGCCTTGGATCTCCCACTGTCATTTAACCATTATTGACTCAATAGACACCATAGAAAAAAATCTGACTATGATCAAGAAGAACTAAAGAAAATAACAAATAAGCACATTAAGGATCAGTACCCCAGCAATACCTGGATTAGAGTTTTCACAAATGGCTCAGCTGAAGATGCCACAAAAAATGGCGGGGCTGGCGTCCTTATTGAATGGCCAAGCGGAGAAAGCCTGGAAAAGTCAATAGCCACAGGCAGCCTATTCGACAATTTTAGGGCAGAAAAAGAAGCCATAGAGCATGCAGCAAACCTCCTGTCAGAACACCCTGAATCACCAAATAGTCAGATAGTATTTCTTACAAATGCCAAATCTGTCCTGCAATCCCTAAAAAATCTAGAGTCCTATACTCAAACACTTAGGACAGCACTAGAAAGGCTAATAAATACCTGCAGCAGAGTTGTGCTGCAGTGAATCCCGGGCCACTGCCAGATCCAGGGTAACGAGATTGCAGACCAGCTGGCAAAAATTGGGGGAAAGAAACTACAACCGGAAATCTCGCTACACCCAAAAGAAATAAAAAGAATAATAAAAAACAAATGCAAATGTGGTCTGACACACACCCTCACTACAATAAAGATGATGGCTATTATAATTTGACACGAAAACAACAATACATAATCTTTCGACTTAGAACAGGCCATAACAGACTAAATCAACACATGCATAAAAAACTAAAGGTTGGGTGTGGCGTTCGTTTCTTTATGTTAATTATGTCCCATTCTAAACCTAAATAATTAGCCTATGACTTTTTTATCTGCCTGTTTTTATAGTCAGTTGATTATGTGTGATCTCACATTCTGGTGGGCCTAAAGATTTATTCATGTCAGACGGAAACTGAAAAATATGTTGATACACTTAAAACAAAATATTTGTTAAGGAAAAATTGAAGATAAATTTGGTAAAATTATATTTTTTTATTAATTATTATTTTCGTAATTAATACCTAAACTGGTTTTAAGGCAAAATTGTTATGCCTTTGACATTACATTTTTTTTTATTAAAACGTGTTTGGGATTTAATCAAAGAAATAATAAGTAATTATAAAAATGTAATTTTTAGTAGGGCCTAGAGAGGTTATAAATTATGAAACCGTGGGCTAAAAAACTCAAGATCAGTATAGCCTATTTAATTTTGCAATCAGCTGAGACCTAGGGCTTACTATTTTTCTACGCATGCGCACTCAACTGAAAATTCGGAACATGTACTATGTTTTCGCTCAGCAAGCGAAGACAAAAACTTGACCCAGAACATAAAAAGGGGCGTGTTTTTGTGCCCGGTGACTCAGAAGATGTTCCTTATACTCGTAAATTGTTTAGTATACACTTTAGTAGGTCAAGTATAGTATACATGTCGCAAGTGTAAACGCGGTGTAATAAATGAAGACTGGCGATGTTTCCAACAAATGCAACCATGATCATTTACTATAACAGCCATCTTGTTTATTTTTTTAAATTGTAAACTTATAGCGCAAGATTCAGGGGAAGCCACTCTAACTTACAGATGGACGCTTTTTATATAGCAAATCCTGCTCGCAAACACTGCTGTTTAAAGTTAATTTCCTGCCTATATTGATATATTCAGTATTTAGTACTATTTAGCCATTGATTTAGGTTTATTATTCATTTATCTATAATATTTGACACAAATATATCACAATATACTTCTATCAAAGCCTTGACAATGAGGTAAATTTTTCGTACATTACTAATGGACACCAGCGAGAAAAGTCTCAAAGGAAATTGAGAGGCCCTTAAATTAATTTAAAAATCATGCACGGCGTAGTTACAATTAATATGGTTATATAATCCTGTCTGTCTGGTTTTTTCGGACTTTACTAAAGATTGGATGTATTTCATGTTTTTAATATTTTCGGTAACTAAATAAAATTTTTTAAAAAAGCAAAAACAATTTGGTTTTCACGTGTAATGGCGACATAAACAATGGCATTCTGTTATTTGATAGGCCGCCATATATTTTATTGTACACATTGTAAGCTAAAAATAGAAAAACTAGGTCATGGTGTTTTAATTTGCATTGTTATTTAAAAACTTGTCCTGCAAAGTTTTGTAAACAAAAAAACTATAAAGTGGGGCTGCCAGAAATCGATCACGGAGTTCCTTGTACAGCCAATCAATGTTTGTCTTACGAAAGTGAAACATCGAGTTATAACTTAGGCTTGATGAAAATAAATAGAAATGTAGCCTTAAACTCATCAAATTATTTTCAAGTTCTCTGGATCTGCAACTTGTATAGCATTGATTCTAAAAATATTAAATTTCTGAATTAATTTTAGGCTTAAGTTTTTAATAAAAAAATAATGTTATCTTTTATTATTTTTATGGTCCTAAATCTAAAAAAGCACATTTTTATTCCATGTCAACAACATTACGGAAGGATTATCGTCAACTTACTGGTGTCCATTACTAGCCGCGGGCGATTTTACGTACCTAAAACGATAGATTACCAACGAATCTAGATCTAGATCACAGTCAATGAGATTCGAGATGTAGATTCTAGTTTAGTTAGTTTAGTAAATTACAATTAGTTATAGATTATAGATTACATAGTATAGTAAGTATAGAGTATAACTATACTTATATACTAATACTATACTAGTATAGTATATTAGTATAAGTGGTAATCTATCGTTTTGGGTACGTAAAATCGCCCGCGGCTATTAATGTACGAAAACGTTACCTCATTGTCAAGGCTGTAATAGAAGTATATTGTGATATGTTTGTGTCAAATATTATAGATACATGAATAATGAACCTAAATCAATGGCTAAATATAATTAAATATATCAATATAGGCCAGAAATTGACTTTAAACAGCAGTGTCTGCAAGCAAGATTTGCTATATAAACAGCAGCCATTTGTAAAATAGAGTGACTTCCGCCTGAATCTCGGCTATAAGTCTATAAAAATAAAACTAACAAGATGTCTGCTATAGTAAATGAGCATGGTTGCATCTGTTGGAAACATCGTTGGTGTTCATTTATTACTGAAAAGTTTTAATTCAGTTGTTTAAAAACCGGTACATAAATGAAACAAGGAAATATTTTGGTATTTTTCAAAACATAAATCCTCCTCAAAATGTGAAATAATTATTAAAATGTAAGGAGTCACCTGTTTTTCACACTACTAGTCGCGGGCGATTTTACGTACCTAAAACGATAGATTACCGTATAAGTATAATAGTATATTATAGTGTTAAGTTAAGTATAACTATAGACTTAGATCTAACTAAAGTAAAGTCTACTAATAATATAGAGTAGACTAGATCTAGAATCTAGACCTATATCTAAATATGTATTTATTAACTTATTTATTACGTATTTTAAAGAACTAAGTTCAGTCAGTTAGGCCCTAGCCTACTAGATCTAGATCTAGATTTCTAGATCTAATTATTTATTGATTATAGCAGGAAACGTTGCTACGTAGAGTAACGTAGAGTTAAAAGGTTGAGCCAAACACCGAATAGTGTAGAAAAAAATCTGAACCAACGTTTAACACTCGGGTCGATTTCTGCAAAGGTGTAGTCTAGACTATAAAATATCGGCCATAAAATATTCCGTGCCATTTTTACGTAGGCTAGATCTAGATCCAACTAGATTCTAGATCTAGATCTATATCTATTTATTTTCTATAGGGCCTACGACTCCATATTTTTTATGTTTAAATTTCCAGTAGTTCAGAACTGGAAGACTGATATAAAAAAGAATGCAAATTATACTATTATAGTATAGATCTATCATTTTAGAAAAAAATTAAAATGATTTGTAACATCTTTAAAAGATCTATCCTAAGGACATAAAAATACGACATTTAGCAAATATTATAATAAAGAAAATCAAAGGACGTGATATAGGCATGTCATATTAATTTATATTAAAAGTTAAGGCCTATACCATAAGCGATGCTATTATTAGAAACTGCAGAACAGGCCGAGATGTGTTTTTAAAAATAAATAAATAAATGAGGGGTTTAAATACTACCCTCGTTCAGTGTTTCTTCCAGACTTTTTTCTCCGGGGGGGGGGGGGGGGCACTTGGAATTTTCGGGGGGGGGGGGGGGGGGGCGGTAGACTTTCTTCGGGGGGGGGGGGCGGACACTGTTAAAAGTATATATTTTCTATATAAATTACATAAATTTCATTTCGTTCGGGGGGGGGGGGGGGGGTAAAATGCCTGGAAGAAACTCTGCCCTCGTTGGGCGCCCAAAGAAACACATAAATCAATTGGGACATTTAAGATTCTATTCGTGCTACACCTAGATCTATATTTTTCAGGGGAAAATCTCAACAAATTTCAAACAAACTAGGCCAATTAATTACATTTATACAATCTAGATCTAGATCTACTAGATTCTAGATACTAGGAGTCGTTGTCCTTCACGAAGAAGGGCATAGGCTAACCTTCACCTTTTAAATAAATCGGAAGCACGGTTTGTTTCGCTTCGAGATTCGATACCGAGGCTTAGAACCATACTGAAAAATAGCAATAGGCCTACAGGCTACAGGTCGACGAACTTTCTGCCGGGTACTGTAGAACGATAAATAGATCTAGAATCTAGATTTAGATCGAGTCTAGATCTAGAACACAACAACTAAAGTAAGTTGCACACTGCATCTTCATCTTTCATCGTTTCACTTTTATAATCACAGCGTTAATACTGTGGTATAAAAAGCTTCGGTAATCTATCGTTTTGGGTACGTAAAATCGCCCGCGATTTGTAATGTGAAAAACAGGTGACTCCTTAAATTTTAATAATTATTTCACATTTTGAGGAAGATTTATGTTTTAAAAAATTCAAAAATGTTTCCTTGATTCATTTATGTACCTGTTTTTAAACAATTGAATTAAAACTTTTCCGTAATAAATGAAGACTAGCGATGTTTCCAACAGATGCAACCATGCTCATTTAATATAGCAGCCATCTTGTCTAAGTTTTATTTTTATAAGCTTTTAGCGCCAGATTCAGGGGGAAGCCACTCTATTTTACAAATGGCTGCTGTTTATATAGCAAATCTTGCTCTCAGACACTGCTGTTTAAAGTTAATTTCTGGCCTGTATCGATATATTTAGCCATTGATTTAGGTTTATTATTCATTTATCTATAATATTTGACACACAAGTATGACAATATACTTCTATTAAAGCCTTGACAATGAGGTAACGTTTTCGTACATAAATAGCCGCGGGCGATTTTACGTACCCAAAACGATAGATTACCAAAGCTTCTAAATAACTATTACTAAACAGTAGCCTAAACTAGGTACTAGGATATAATTTCAAAAATGGTTTGATTGCAAAACAATGACTGCAGGTAAAAGGAGCAAAAAATTAGAATCACAGAACAGTTTTCCTTTTTGATGTAGCTCTAACGGTTACAAAGTTATGATTTTTTTTCCTATTAAAAAAGGTGCATTTTTTAACATAGGATTTTTTAAATTTCTGTGATAAAGATTTATTTAGTGTGCACTACTAAAATGATCATAGCCTGTAAACTACATGGTAGAATTTCTTTAAACTTTCCAGTATCTTTTTTTATCATATCGTCCCCTCAGTATTATATGTTCTAACTAGATCTACAAATTTTGATTTTTTCGAAAAACTCGACCCTATGATGTAGAAAAGCACTTTGTTCAATCTCCACTTATTCACTTATCTACGTGACTCTAAGTCATCTGCTTCCTACCAAAAAATAAATGAGTTTAAAATATTTTTAATAGGTAACTCAGACCCCGTGAAACTTCAAATGCGTTTTTCTCAAAATTACATTTTGGGAGATAGAACAAGATAATACTAGGGGGACGATATAGGCCTATGGATTTAAGCATAATAAGGGAGAATGTTTACACCGGTGTCTGAAAATGGAATCTTCTTTAAAAAAGGGGTGTTAGGTTACTGGTAGTTAACTAAATACACACTAATGTCAATGCTAACCCTAACCGCAACCCTGGTCCAAACATACGCCTAACCCTAATTTCTAATCATAAAATTAGTCGAGATTGCAATACTACTAACAACCCAACACCCCTTTTTTAAAGAAGATTCCATTATCGGACACTGGTATCTATAATCATCCCATAATAAACAAAAAAAAAAGATATTTATGGGTAGAATTTTTTAACAACAAAAGTTAATCATGGTACCCCCCCTATTTTTGAACACGCAGTGCTTTCATACAACCACACTTTAAATTTTAACTATTAGAAATATTAAGCTCAAAATAACTCAGAATGAGTAACTATGAGTGTGTCAATGTATAATATCAAAATATTGATCATAGCATGAAAGATTTGTGTTTTTCATGATGCAAAGCTGATAAATCATGCGATTCTACAAAACCGAAGTCTGGTTTATGTGAAATACAAAATTATGGCAAATTTAAACTACTGAGCATTTAAGTTCCAAAATTTGCTTAACTTTAGATAATTCTATACTACAAAAGAAATAATCAAAATACTGGTTGTGACTCCATCTGTTTTCCAGAAATATATGGTTGAAGAAGGTACCCCCCATTTAAAAAACCAAAACTTTTAGCACAACCTGAGTGTGAGTTCTATCTATTTATTAAAAATATCTAGCACAGAGCTTGCTTGAATGAAGTTCTAAAAGTGTGTATATTAATACTAACTAAATAATTATCATAAAGGTATGTTTTTCATTGAGCTGAAGAATTGATACAACTCACATTGTAATTATGTAAACTGTAAATGATTATCATTATCATTGTTCTAAAAGTGAAAATAAATATGTTTATGTTACATTGATGGCAAATCATTTAACTTTAAGACCCTTAGTCTGATTCAGTTATTTGTAGTTATATGAAGGGATGACATGGTCAGATGATAGAACGCCCATATGTTAACCTTAAGCCTCAAGTTCGGATCCCGGACTGAGGTTGATAAGACATCCCCGAGTCCACCCAGCTGTAATGAGTACCTGATATTATTCTATGGAAATTGAAGACAGCTGGGCATAGTCATAACCACACTACTTTTAAATGAGGATTTAGTTTAATTTTGTTTATGATAATGTTTCTGATTTATACCAAGATATTTTGCATTTCTAAGAACATTTGTCATTTTGAAAAGAAATATATTTTTCTTCACTGCTGGCTCAAATACTGTCCCTTGCTGGGCCTCATTTATTTTAATTTTAATCTCAATGAATATGCTTGTAGTAAAAATAAACTGCAGTTTTATTAGAGTAAAAAAAAAATGATGGACAATTTATATATAGGAGTACACCAAAGAACTTTATTCTCTATTATAATTTATATAGTTCTACATACGGTTTCTGTTCTGCTTTAGAAGTGCATATTCTGTCTGGAATATAAAACATACTTCATTAGCATGACAATAAATAAAATATAACTAGCAAATAAAAACACATATGTAAAGCAAAATAAAAATTGTTTGCTAAAATTATCCTCATACTTAAAAAAAAAACCCTACAGGGCAATATTAAAGGTCCTGAAAAATCGATCCTGTTAAAAATAAATGGCCTTGTGATATAAGGCTCTCTTAAAAATATCCCACCACAAAATGCTACTGTCCAAAACAGACATTGAAATCCCCCACAAAACGGACATTGAAATCCCAGACAAAACTGACATTGAAATCCCCCACAAAACCGACATTGAAATCCCCCACAAAACCGACATTGAAATCCCCCACAAAACCGACATTGAAATCCCAGACAAAACCGCTCATCAATAAGGCACGTTGCTACGCGCTCGCGTCATTAGCGCTCACGATAACACAGCTTTGCAGCCCAGGCTACAGTGATATATATATATATATATATAAACCTACAATAATAAGTTAACAAATTACGATGTTCCAAACATTCGATTAAAAAAAAACAGTCAAAGTTGATACGCATATCTTGCCCACAATCTAATAAATAATTTCCTAGTTAATGGCAGTCTTTACACATGATTAAGCTTAACACCGTATGACATCATACAATTAGTCAAGCCCCCCCCCCCCCCTCTCACTCTCTCCCCATCCACAATACAGTAGACCCTACCTACACATCACATAATCATACCCCTCTCGTGTAAGCGTAAAGAAATATAGAGACCCGACTCCTTCCGGCTTTTTACTTTCGCTTTCTAAGTAAGCACAAGACAGCGCTAAACCATACAAACCACGGGGAAGCATATAACTTCTATGAGCTGCATCCAAACACTTTCAAATTTCAGTATGATAGAGGAAAATGGTGTAGGGACTCTAGCAATCAATAAAAAAAGACATGCGTCCAGTAGTTAATTTAAAAAAATCAAACTTACCTTATTTTCAATGAAAAACTCCATTTTGAATAATCCATCAAAATAAAAACAAAAGACAAAAAGCCAGGCAAAGTCCATTTTTAAGTAGAAAAACAATTTCCACATTAAATTTGACCGTTCAATAACGGAGAGGAAAAAATTTTACTAAACCGGCGAATTCGTGTAGCCGCACACGCAAACCGCTCGGTAACGGGAGAAAAAATATGCAGCTAAGCGAGAATCGTGAGGCCAATCCTAGTACCTACAGTAAACAGTATTATTAGGGTAAAACTCCATTTTATCGTATTTTATTCCCTGCTTCACTTTCACCTCCAGTTGAGCGTATTCTATTATAAACACAACGGAAACACACCAAAACATTAGGAAAACACGATTTATTAACAAATGAATAAAAAAAACCAAAAAGACTGATGTGATTTCTTGAGAAAAATCAAAATTTAGAATATTGAATGTGCTATATGTTCGTTTCAGTTAGGATTTTCATGGCAATGGGTGTACGCAAATGTAACCAGAGGCGTAGCTACCCTTCCCGGCGCCCGGGGACAAACCCTCCCCCCCCCTCAAGATTTTGATTTGCACACCCCCTCGAGATTTTGATTTGCACCCCCCCCCCCCCTCAAACTTTCAATTTCCACCCCCCCTCAACCTTTCAATTTATTTTTCCAACCCATTTTGACGCCCCATAAGCTCGGCGCCCGGGGACATATGTGTGTCCCCCCCCCCCCTCGCTATGCTACTGAATGTAACAATTGCAAGGCGGTTAAGTTTGTATCGTTACAAGCATCTAAATAAATAAACATTTATGAACTTACAATGACCCCAGAACTGTGGCAAACACAATTTCAAACAGCTATGACATATGCTGATAATTAAAGTCAATGTGAACCTGCGACCATGTAAGGATTTTTCTCCCGCTGACGATCACACAATATTTAATTGGAACGGCCCTAATGCTTTTTTATGTTTATACCTTTTCTAATTAAAAATCACATTCATAAAAAAAAGTAGATCTAGCTCTAGTCCAAGTGTTTTCCTAACATTTTTGTGTGTTTTGGTTGTGTTTATAATAAAATACGCTAAAATGGAGTTTTACCCAGTATTAGGCCTTTAAACTTACTTATTACTAGATTCTTAGGTTGGGTAAGGTTGTAAACAAAATGAATTTTTGAGTATTTTATCTTAAAATCAATGAGTTAGTTAGAGGAAGGAATAAGAATTCCATTGGTACCAAATTTATATTTCTAGCTTTAGGACCTAGGCCTAATAGGAGAGGAGAAATTATTTTTTTTTCTATTTTTTTCTATTTTCT